ATCATTTGTTTGTCAGTCTGAGTATCATCTTATATATGTTTCAGGCAGTCATGTTAGAAATTAAAAATTTTAAGACAGTGTTTCCTGTTCCTCATGCTGGCCCTGAAGTCCTTTGTTGCCATGATGAGCTTGAACTTCTGATCCTTCTGTCTCTACTTCCCAAGTGCTGGGGATTGCAGATGTGCACCTCCAGGCTGAGTTTTAAAGCCAGGGTTTGGCCCATGCTGGACACTCTACTGAGCTATACCCCAGTCCCTAGAAATCTAAATATTTGTCTCAGCATGGTCCTTTCAGTTTGGGTTTTACTTTTTAATTTTGGCTGAAGAATCCAGTTTAACTGATGTGAGGTGCACACCTTCAATCAACAGTCAGGAAGCTGAAGAATGAGGTGCAAAGCTGGAGACCAAAAAAAAAAACAAAGCAATGAGCAATCAGGTTAAGCAAGCCATCGAGGCCAAGCAATTCTCAAGAGTTTTCTGTTGGAATGCCAGTGATTCCTATGTGCACTCACCTCTCCCCATCACCCTTCCTACTTCTAGGAGGCCTCTACTCCTGCTCCCCTAACAGCTTATTCTTGGCAGCCTAAGTGGTCCAGCCTTCCAGGATTATCAGTTGGATTCACCTGGATTCTTTCTGTGGCATTGTAAACATAACAGCCCTACAAAAATGGGTCCTTGGGAAATAGGTGACTTTTTTTCACTTTTATTTCTTGAAAATATTTTAAGTCATATAGTCCCAATAAAATGCCGATATTCTTCATAAATACACATTGGTATTAAGCAAATGAGTATCGCATAAAGACTGTTTAATATAAGAGAGCATACACTTTATACAGATGTTCCTGGCATGGGCCGTTCAGCTTAGGGCTCAGTAGCTATGGGAGATCTTGAATTGGAGTGTAGACAGTGTGTATGTGTGTGTGTGTGTGTGTGTGTGTGTGGTGTGTACTTATGTATATAAATATATGCATTGTAAGTCTTATCTTCTCAACATGGAATAGATAGAAAAATCACTAAGGAGTGTTTACGCTTTCAATGTATGTAAGTCTTATGAGTTCAGTGTACACTTTCCATTTGTTGCTCACCCGAGCAAAGCATTTCCTAAGGTATGGGATGCTATTAGTGACTATTTTTAAGATAACATTTGTTTTGTAATAAGCTACCCAAGACAGGAACTGTGTGTATGTGCCTGTGTATGTGTGTGTGTGTGTGGTATAATCCTGACTGTGTATGTAACTAAGTTTTAGAGGACTTTCTAGACATATATGAAGCCCTGGCTTGAATCCTGAACACAGCAGAAACCCTGAGAGGTAGCACACACCTGTAATTCCAGCACCAGTGCAGGAAAAGAATCAGAAGTTCAGGATCATCTTTGACTACAAAGGAATTTCAGGCCATGACCCATCTATCATCCTCCAAATGGGTGTGGGGGCAGCGTTTTACTCTCACTGAGATGGTGATGATTCAGGAGAAGTTTTAGCCCCAAACAGATCTGTGACATTGTCCTCAGCATCTTTAAGAAGACGCATGGCTGGTTGATTTATCTATTTGGTTTGTGGGAATAAAAACTCCCTCAAAATTCACAACTGTCGAGGAGGGAGGGGTTTATGGGGGGATACAAAATGAATAAAGTGTAATTAATAAAAAATTTTAAAAAAGAATATACTCACTAATGCAAAAAAAAAAAATTCACAACTGTCCTTGTGGAGCTCCTGTCCTCTCCAGGTCTTACTATCTCCCACTTCTTTCATAAGATTCCCTGTACTCTGGAGAGGACAGGAGCTCTACAAGGATGGCAACAGATCCAAAAAGTCTGGGCACAGGGGTCTTTTCTAAAACTGATACTCCAGCCAAGGACCACTCATGGAGATGGCCTGAAACTCCTGCACAGAGGTAGCCTATGGCAGCTCAGTATACAAGTGGGTTCCATAGTAATGGGGACAGGGACTGTCTCTGGCATGAACTGATTGATCTGCTCTTTGATTACCTCCCCCTGAGGGGGGAGCAGCCTTACCAGGCCACAGAAGACAATACAGCCATTCCTGATGAGACCTGATAGACTAGGATCAGAGGGGAGGGGAGGAGGACCTCCCTTTTCAATGGACTGGGAGAGGGACACAGGTGGGAAAGAGGGAGGGAGGAATTGGGAGGGGAGGACAGAGAGAGGTACAGGGGGATACAAAGTAAATAAACTGTAATTAATAAAAATAAAAACAATTATAAAAAAATTCACAACGGTTTCTAGAAACACTTGCTTAAGCAATATATTACCTTCTAATTGCCAGATGGGAAAGTAGTTATACCCAGTTTCCTATCTTCCTATCACAGCTTTCCTATCACAACCCCATGCTCTGGGAGCCTTTGTGGACAACTTAGTAATGACTGAAAGGTGCATCTGCATCCGGGTATGGAGAAGTGTGACTTCAGCTTTTTAAAGATCTCTTCTCAACCTGCATCCTTGGGTGGCCTGGGATTCTCTGTAGACCATGCTGCCAAACAACACAGATCCACCTGCCTCTGCCTCCCCAGCGCTGGCACTAAAGGTGTGTGCACACCACCATGCCCTGAACTTCCTAAACATTTGGAAGCAGCTCCCCCACACTAAGTATGAGCTGGTAGTAAACATTTATTAGAAAGATGTTAGTTGAATGGCATCTGGGAGGTATAATACAAGCCAGGTGTCCCTTCTGCTCTTGCTCCAGGAACTCTTGCTCGTTAAATTTATTCTTCTTTCTGGAGTGCATTTTATTTTCTGGTAATTGAGAGGATGGGTCCAGGTGTCAATGTCCCTTCACTCTCCAGCTATCTCAAAAGCAGGATGGTCCCCAGGCCTAGAGTCACACCTCAAGGGCAGATCTTTGCTGCAGCTTGGGAAACAGCCCAAGGGCACGTTAGCAATGCTCCCCCTTACTTAAGCTCTTCTGTAGTTTGTTTATATCAGTGTGTAGATGCTATCTAGTAGGTGGATTGCAGAACTGGAGAGACTCAGTTTTAACACAGAACAGGTGAAAGTGTGGCCAGGAGATAACAATGGAGTTACGAGAGATTTGTCTTTATCCATAAATAGCTCTGGAAGAGTCCATCAGCAACAGAGGACCAGAAGAGAGACTACCAAGAAGTCATTTTCCCTTAAGTAACAGGTAAGTAGGGACATCTATACCCTTATGCTGAAGAGAGATTATAAGGATAGCAGTCCTTGGGGTTTCTGTACCATATGGGATTACATTTGGGGTGATATGCAACTGAATTGGGACATTAGAACAATGATGATTGAGTCTCCCGACATTAGGATAACTTTCCATCCAATAGAGTTCTGTGGATTCTTGAGAGGTGGATCTTCCTTTAAATGGAATAATAGACTTTCATAGACTAACTATTAAACCCTTCTTAAGCTAAGGTAGCATGAAAAATAGAAAAAGAAATCTGTCGAAATAGTCTGCTACTCTTGGATTAAGCCCCATTTACTTAAGCCAGTGTCTATAAGTACTATGTAACGCTATATAGTAGTATGGAAATGGGACCAAGGAGGTGAGAGCATAGGTAGATATGTTTGCAGTGTTGTTCGTTGACTTCTTTGCTTTGCAAGTAAGGAAACATTTTTAAGAAACAGTTTGTATGCAGTGTGGCTGCAGACAATTGAGGTTTTGTGTTAAAGGTGAGGTAGCCCAGAGCAGGAGGAACTAAGTTTTGCTTTAGTAGGAGCGTTGGAGACGGGAAGGTAGTGGTCAGTCAGGGAAGTAGGGCAGCTTTTAGAAAGTCCGTTTAAGTCCGGTTGCCCAGGTTGAAATTGCACCCATATCCCCTTCTAACCTGCCGCCAAAGCTCTCTTAGCTTTTCATATGCTTTCTATGTTGTTGTCTCCCTCAGTTTATGTGTTCACCTATACAAGGTAAGAGTGAATTCTATATTTTCTATGTTTTGTAAATGAATATTTATTTCCTAGATAGATGCAACTTACATGAGACCAGAGGTCTATGATTCACTCATAGAACCTGGATTCTTGGAATCAAATCCTATATATTCTGTTGACGACAGTAAATACATATATAAAATGAGTAAAAATTTAGTATTAACTATGGTAAATTGGTTACATTTTAATTTTATAAGTCTATGATTTCAAAGTTATTATAAGCTTATTACCATTTTAAGATTTGTATGTATTGTTTTTAATTGCGTATATCTGGGTGTGTCGCTGTGTGGTGATGTGTGTGTGTTTGTGTGTGAGTGTGTGTTGGAGTACAGGTGTCCCAGGAATGGTTGTGTCTTCTGTATCTCCAGTGATGGTGGTTGTGAGCCTTTCAGCATGGCTGCTGGTTTTATAAGAGCAACACACACTCTTAACCAGTGAGCCCTTGCAGCAGCCTGACATTAATGTTCTAGAGAGAGTCTGTTCACACTCCCTTATCCTTGGTCTATTAGTGGTAGTAGTGGAACTAAAGTGAAAAACTCCAAAAGCTTTGACTTTGACATGGATGGGACAATGTGCTTAGGTACATGTGTAACACTCTTCTCAGTCCTCTGTCCATCTTAGGGATCTATCACAATGGCTACTGAGCAGAAACAGCCCAGAGTGCACAGGAGGGCAAGTGTACTGCCAATAGAAGGCTGTCCTTGCTCAGGGTCCTATCTAAAGAACATACTCTTGTTTGTGCCTTCAATGTTTCTGTTTACCATCTAATTTGTGCCAAGACCAGAAGTGAAATTGATGACTATATCTAAGGAAGGATGGAGAAAGAAGAGGCTGTTTGGGAGGACATCTTTCCTTGTCTATGAGAATGCAGAGAGCCCTCACCATGGGGAGTTTACAGAGTGCTGCATGAAGCCTTTGATTATGTTTTATTTTTATTTTTATTTTTGCATCCTCAGTGGAGCAGACCCAAATAATAGACTCCAGCAAGGTGCAAAGATAAGCTGCCTTCTGAGAATTAAGACTTGTCCAGATTCCATGTGGTGAGGACCACAGACACCAGAGTGTCTCCTCATGTCCTTCAGGTCAACATCATGATGTATCCTCAAGTCCTCATTTCAGGCCTCATACTCCTTCTCCCAGGTGAGTGAGATTTGAACTGGGGGATGCCTAGGAGGATGGAGGTTCAAAAGAAAAATATGTTCTCTTGGGTCTTTATTATAGCAAAGAACCAAGATGAACTTGTTGCTCAAAACAAAATGTTTAACCTATCAAAATTAAAATATAAGACCCACAAGGCTGTCAAGTAAGGGGCGAGTGAATATATCACATGCATGTAATATTCAAGTGAGGGTGATTACATATACATGTATATTATAGTCAATGCATGAGGGCTGAAGAAAGAACATGAAAGGCAACCTAAACTTACTGTGGCCTATATGCCATAAAATAAACTCAGTTTTAGTTGTTTGATTAAAAATACTAATTGAAAACATAAAAAGGGGAAATAAATAAATACAAAAAGAATTAATCCCAGGTGCGGTAGTGCATACCTTTAATCCCAGCACTTGGGAGGCAGAGCCAGAGGGTCTCTGTGAGCTCAAGGCCAGCCTGGTCTATAGAATGACCAGGACAGTCAAGGCTACAAAGAGAAACCCTGTATTGAAAAACCAAGAAAAAATTAAAATGATACAGTGTGAATATAATTCATTACAGAAAATTGTTTTATCCACATATATATCCATTACATAATCACACTGAAGAATACCCTTACAGTAAATAGTTAATAGTGAAACTGCTAAGTTATCAAAACTCTACAAAGAAAAATGAGAAGGGCCAATAAAGCGCATGTCTCCCTCACATCATGTGTCAGGTTTAATATGCACTGGAGCCAGAAATAAAAAATGGGAAAGAAATGAAGCCATAAACTCAACCATAGGAAAATGGTGGTGCTCATTCTCCATTTCCACCTTTGTATCCATAGCTGCTGTAGATTCTTTCTCACAAGTGCATGGAGTGGTGGGTCACCTTGTCACACTGCCATGCACATATCCAGTGTCTAATGGAATGTCATCCATGTGCTGGGGCCGAGGGGAATGTACTTCTGATACATGTGGACAAACACTTATCCGGACTGATGGACACAAAATCTACTATCGGACAAACAACCGCTACCAGCTGAAGAGTGAGCTTCTTCAAGGAAATGTGTCCTTGACAATAGAGAGTGTCGCTGAGAGTGACAGTGGTGTCTACTGCTGTCGAGTGGAAACGAAGGGACAGGATGGTGTGCAGAGCCTGAACTTCTCACTGCAAGTTCAACCAGGTGAGCCTGCCTTGCTTCTTTGCTTATGTCTCACAAGTGAGCCGAGTCCTGTTTGCTGGTAATTTGTTCTTCTCCTAGAACAAGAAAGTTCTTATAAACGTGTTGTGATTAAACCCTTGTTTTTTATTCTTTTTAATGACATAATCTCATGTATCTCAGGCTGTCCTTTAATGGCCATGCACTCCTGGTCCTCCTGCCTCTAGCTCTCTAGTGTTGAGAACACAAGTAAGTCCCATCACACCCAGGCTTAAGTGCCCTTTGGAGGCACAGAATACCTTCTCTGTGCTTGACTGAATCTAAAGTTACCTTTAATGCAAGACCATGAGCCAAGTCAGCGTCCATGTCCTAACTGTACTTGGGACAGTCTTGTTGACCCATGAAACTGTTCACCTTTCCGCCCTGAAACACAGTAGGGAGTGTTATTTAAGATGAAGTGACTTGAATTAAAGATATCCTTTGTCTCTGGGTTAATGTCTAGCAGCATTAAAACACCGGCTCTAACACTGTAAAACCTTAACAGCTCTGACCTGAAAAGCCGGCAATGCAGGCTGCTGCTGTACACATGAGCTGCTTCAACAATGGTCAGCTGACCCTCTGAGCACAGGCCATATGTATGGGTGGGGAGCTCTACTCTCTTTCCTGCTTTGGATTTTTAAAACAGGTTTCACCTCATGTTACAAACTTATCATTTTAGACACAAAAATGTCCATGTTTTTCCCTTCTACCACCCTTTCATTGGTTACTAATAAGAAGTTCATGGAACCCCCAGTTCTTAACTCACTACAGTTTCCTTTTTGTTGTGGACATCCTTTAAAAAGGAGTTGAATCATGAGGCTGGACCTTCCTCTGGTGATATTTCCCAATCTCTTTTATTAAGGGCTAAAACCGACAATAGAAGCCAATAGTACCTGCCTGTATTCTTTTTAAATTCAGACCACTTTTGTCACTGCCCAGTCCTATACTTTGCCATTTATTTTTTTATCTTTACTTCTTTATTATTTTTGATAAAGGATAACCCTGTATAGTATGGCTGATGACATATGGATATCAGGCTGGCCCCACACAGACCCAACTGCCTCTGCTTTCTGAGTGATGGGATTAAAGGCCTGGATCACCAGGGCCAGCTGCTTGAAATTATTAATAGTGACCTGTTATCAACCTTAGAATTTCTTTCACATGTCAGTGTTTAAAAGTTCTCCATCTGGCCGGTCAATGGGTCCTCAAGAGGCACTCTGCCTTATCCTTAAACAACCAAGTCTATATTTTCTCATGATTTAAACATACTCTCTCAGGATCCTTATCAACCCATTTATAATTTCCAATCTACCTGGGAGAGAAAAAAATGTCTAAGAACAAGAAAAGAAAACTCCTGAGCTCGTTCCCTCTTTTCTAGTTTTTGTTTTCATTGTGATCTTCTGATTGGATTTTTTTTTTTTTTTGCCTGTTTGCTTCTGTACTTTAGAGATTCATGTTCTCCAGGGTGGGTTTTAGATTGTACTCAAACCTCTGGCTACAGATTACACTGGTTCTGCAAGCTGGAAAGGCCAGGTTTGTAACAGTCCCGCTCACTGGTGTGAAGAGATTTATTGCAACACAGCTACACACTCCGCTGCTATTTTGTCAGCAGTGACTTTCAAACTGATTGATGTGATGCTTGCTACTGAACACCTATTTTTTGGTTCTTGAGCCCAGGATACTTACTCTCTGGCCCTCTACAGGAAAGATGTCTGAGGGCCCTGAGATAGCTCAGTGGGTAAAGGTGCCTGTAACCAAGCTTGATTACGTGAGGTCAATTCTTGCAAGCTACTTGGTAGAGGATGAGAACCAACTCTCTCAGTTGCCCTCTGACCTTAACACATTGGCAATGAAAAATCACACACTGTTGGGGAGGGGCAACAAAGATAAGTGAATAAATACAATTTTTTTAAAATTTGAAAGTGAGCTGAACTCTACTTCCATTAGCTTCCTGTAACAGGTAGACACATCGTTTCTTTTCGAGAAAACGCTCTAGATTCGGATTACATTGCATCCCTTAAAGAGAAGAGTGTTGGAAGTTGTTGATCCTGGCTCCTGGGTTTTATTCTGTAGATAGCTGGGTTAGGATTAAATGAAGCCGCTTTATGGGGAAACGTGCCAGCTCAGTGTGTGCTCCTGCTAGAGTTTTCACTGACTGTTTCTTCCAAGCACCGTTTTCCTTTAATCCCAGTCTTGGGTCTCTGTGAACTCTCAGACCACCAGTAGCCATTTGGATTCTTCTAGCACTGCTAATTCTCTTGATTTGTGAATTATGGGTTGAACCTGCCTTGCCCCAATATCAAATCTGCAGCACTACTCAATCTAAAATCTCTTAGCTTTTAGATCTTGGGCATTGCCTTGATAAAAGACCTGGAAATTTCAATACCATAACATTTTCATATGCAGAATTTTTAAGAGTTTATAGTCTAACATGTAAGCTATATGTATAAACTATATGCTTATGAATGTTACATCAATTCATGTTTATACTTGAGCTGCACCATAAGCTATAGGCACATATTAGAAAAATTTCAGAAATATCCAAATTGTGAAACTCCTGATACCAAAATTTTTGGATAAGTGACATTCACCATGTTTCTCTTAGATTGGAAAGAAAACATGGGAGACTGTGTGCACTCTCTCTACCCCAAAGGACTAATTCTTCCTGTCGGGCTTTGCCTGGGCTCTTTCATAGGCCAACTATGCTAGCTAGCCTTCAGCTGTGATGCAGCGCTGTGTGGTGTATTCTCTCAGGACATTCTGAGCCTGATATCTGTGGAAAAAGTCAGTCACTTATCGATGAAAGGTAGAAAAGAATCCCAGCCCTGCACAGCCTCTCAGTCTCACAGAGAGGCTGAGAGAGAGAGCTGAGGATCTGACACCTGTCATTCATAAAGTGTTTCCATAGGAACACGGGCTCTGTCCACATCCATGGCGTCAGTACAGCTTCTCCCATTGGGGAGCCTGTCTCCACTGGCCTCCCCTGCCACATCCTAGTTGGTCAATGACAAAGATTAGAAGTTCAGGAGAACAGCCTCTGCCTGGGACAGACTCTCACTGGTGTGCTAGGGAGTAGGTGTAGCAGAAGGCTCTTTCTTCTTGCTCGATTGACCTTTGCTTTCATATTGATTTCTAAATTCAGGAGTTCCAACAAGTTCTTCAAGTAGTCTCAAACCTATCAATGCACCCAGACCTACTCCATGGAGACCCGGAACTGTTCTAAAGAAAAGTATAACTACTCCAAGGAGACCAGCAACAACCCAAACACCCACTCCTACTCCCAGAAGACCACCAATTACCACAAAACTAAAAACTACTCCAAAGAGACCCCCCACACCAATGAAACCCACAACTACTCCAAGGAGACCCACATTTATAAAACCTACACCTATTCCAAGAAGAACCTCAACAACCACACCTTCAACAACCATAAAATCCAAGACTACTCCAAGAAGACCCCCAGCTATCACAAAACCAACAACTACCTCAAGGAGACCCTCAGTGAGCCCCAAATCCACAATTACTCCAAGGCGAACAACTATCTTAAAACCTTCAACTACTTCGAGGAAAGCTGAAACTACCACAAAACTTGTAACTACTTTAATGAGACCCACAACTACCACAAAATACCCAATTACTTTGACAAGATCTGCAAGTTCTCCAAAATCAACTGCAATCTCTGCCTCTACTTCTCCAACATCAGCACATACACAGACTCACGAACCAGGTAAAACCCATGTGTTTCAAGGCTCAGATTCCTTCTCATGAGAGTGGTGGGACACAGAGGACACTGAGTCAGAAGTGTAATGTTGATGAGGTGTTCTCAACTGGGTCTGAAACAGCTTCACAGGGCCTGGGATTTTTTTTTTTTCCTGTCTTAAGTTGCATGTACTTGCTGCTGTGTTCAGGCTCGAAGATGGAGGATACCCATCTCTTTTAGTCAGATTCCCAGGGGATTCACTAACAACCAGACTTAGGTGGATCATTGATCTAAGATAGCTAATGAGGATGCTGAGAATCTTGCTCAGTGGGACATGACTTTCTGGAATGAAAATAGGGAATGACTGAGAACTAGGGTCAGGGTAGGAAGATTCTGGACCCTTCATGTTCATTCTGAAATTGGTCCCTGAAGTTAAGCCATAGTTCAGTGAAGCTAACATTTAGTGTTTCCTGAGCACCGGGCAGCGTACTATATGCTTCATGATACAGTGTTTATTTCTCAGACAACTGTCTGATACAGCTGGGATCTGTCCCTATTTTATACTGACAGGAACTGACAGAGTCATAACTTCATGGTGGATGTTATGAAGACAGAAAATGACTCAAACTCTGTCCCTGTTCACTTGACTTGGAAGCTGGTTCTTCTAATTCCAGGGTCAGGCCTCCTGGAATGGGCACTGAGATTTATGTTTGGAAGGATTGTCCTGTATTAAAATCCTCACTGAAGAAGACTTCTGAAGTCTCCATTTTTAGGGGCAGGGGATGCTTTCCAAAGTTTTGCTTCAAGGATCTTTCAATTTTGTGAAGCATAAAGGTGCAAAAGATGTTTTTCATACTGATGATTTACACATTGCATTTAAAGATTTGGGGGATTTGGAATGTTCATGTGTGGCTGGAGAGACGGATTCATAGCTATAAGAAAATATCGTTCTTGAGGAGATCCTGAGTTGGCTCCAGGCACCCAGGTGGAGCAGCTCACAAATGCCTGTAATTCCCCTTCCAGGGGATCGGATGTCCCTGGTCTCCATAGGCATCTGCAACCAAACGCAGAAACCCGTACACAGATGACATATGCATAGACACATAATTTAATATAGAAATGCATTGTATGCATACGCTTTGGCCGACACCCCTAAGCTTGTACTTCAAATGCCCGCATCTGTGAATTTAGACTTAACAGTAATGGATAGTTTGTTAGCAATGAGGGAAAGCTTGACATTCAAAGACAAGATTAGGCCAAATCTGCATCTGGAAGTGAAAAGGTAGCTGTTAGAGAGATACTTAAAGCTTCCTAGTACCCAAACATCCCTGTGTAGGGCTGGATTCTGAGGGGCAGCAGAAGGGTCAAGGCTTTTTTTTCTCTCTCTCTCTAGATCAATCTGATGGGAGGTAGTGATTTCCTTGCCTCCCATTGGCCTGTGGGTACATCAACCAGGAAGGCTCTGAGTGACTGGGCTATGGGTGGATTTTGCAGAGGCTCTAGTTATAAATGTGATTTTAGAGCCCAGGGTTCGTGAGAAAATCCACCATTTTTCCAGGCAGCTGCACACACTATAGAACCGTGACGATCTCTCAGGACTGACAGAGCTTTTCAGTCCTTAGTTTTTGGTGCTTTGGAGGATGGGCTCATGGGCTGGAGTTTGAAGAACATGATAAGTTGCTGGCTTCATGGAAAACAGAAATTTAGAAAAGAAGTGACAGTTTACATGTTCATATGTCCTGCTGGGGTGGTACTAGTTTTGTTTTGTTGAGTCAGGATCTTAACTTGGCTGGTGTGGAAAACATTATGTAGACCAAGCTTACCTTGAAGTCATAGAGATCTTCTTGCCTCTGCCTCTAGTTTGCCACCATGCCTGTCAGTGTTGAATTAAAATTTTATCCTGTTTCTTTACTGGATCCTTTACTCTTACATTGGAAGGTCTTACTTAAGGTCCCAGGCTACAACAGGACCTAGACTGTAGATACTGCTTAAACGTAGTCATTCATTGCCTTTGGCTCTTTGCTCTCCCAATGAGTAAAATGTAAACTTAGTAATATGTGAACTGCGGAAGGCTATGAGCCCTCCAGCTTCATTCATGCTGGGCAATGTCAGCTTTACAAGTCTTTGGGATTTCCACAGACCTGTAGTATTTTCACTCATTTTGTGGGCAGTCTGTGTGTGTGCATTGCAATCAGATATGTCTGCCGTTTGATAAAATTAGAAGTGTATAATCATCTGATGAGTGTTTTTAAGGAATAAAATTTAATTGAGTGGTTTATGGTTAGGATATAAAGCATTTGTTCATTGTTCTTACTCAGCAGGGTGAGAATTCTGTATTGAGTATACAATTTGAGAAAGCATAAAATATATAATCTGTTCAAAAAATTGGTGTCTCTGAAACACCCTGATAGGTGAATGGAGATTAGTCACTCTCTTTCTAAATGAAATCCTAATCCTCACATCATGTGGTTTTGTGGGTGATATTACACGTGGTCTCTAAAGCAATTCTGTTCCACATTGAGGTACAATGACATAGTAAGTGGGAACACACTGTTCTAGATGTCATGGTAGTTCCACTCATACTGAGTAGAGTCATCCTGACCTTTCAAGGTTCATGTAGCCTTTGCGCACTTGCCATTCTCAGCTCATGCAGAAGTGTAGAAAAGATAGGTCTTTAAAATGTCCCAAAACTTAGTTCTCTGATTCACACAAATATGGAGGTGGGCCTGGACATGTACTTGTATTTTTTTCCCAGAGAGAGACAGATAGAGACAGAGAAAGAGAAAGAGAGAAAAAGAGAAAGGAAGAGGGAGGGAAAGAGAGAGAGGGAGAGAGAGAATTTTCCACGAGACTAAAACACAAATGTTAAGATGTGCAACTTCCTAGAGAAATTTGGTAAAATATTAAGTATTTAGTGTGATTCTCTCTGTGTCTGCAGTATTTGATTATGTTATTGTTTTTCAATTAATCATAGAAGCTGGTATGAATATATGGAGTGTTGGTAATAAAAATCTAACATGTTTATGATTATAATTAATTTTCATTCTTGTTGAGCAGTTTGGACCTCTACTGTGACATCCTCACCCAACCCTTGGAATATTCACACTGTAAGTATATCCTTCCCTGTGCTGATAGTAAGATTCACTTGTCTATCTTCCTGGAATCATGTTGCCTTTAAAAACTTTGTCTGTTAAATTAGTTCACAGAATTTCATCTCAAAAGAAGAAGAAGAAAAAAAAACAGAGTTAAACATAGTTGTTTAGACCTTTACCTTAGGACTCAGATAGGTGACACAAGAAATACCAAATTTGAGAATAGCCTGGACTACCATGGCATCTTGGGTTATATACTGAAATCCTGTCTCAAAAACAAACAAACAAAACCCATTAAATATATGATAATAAATCCATTAAAATGAAGAAAGGAATTTGACTCTAAAATGAGTGTTAGGAGGCAAGTTTGTTAGACATACCCAATAAATGATATTTTACAAAACAATGGAGGAAGGTGATGACACAGAGAGAGATTGACTGATTTTATATGATTAAAAGTTACATTAAGAAAAGGATGAGCTAACCAAAGGAGAATGAGTTAACATGCCATATTAGTGTATCCTAGTGTAAGATCAGAAACCATCCCGCCGTGTTGAAAGTACTGCTAACTGAACAGATCTGTGCGGTTTTAACACAGCACTGCATGGTGCAGCTGTACCTGACTTTGCTTAACTGCAGTACAGCCATGGTTATCAGCAAGAAGAAAGAAGTCGGGATTGAATTCAAGCACGGAGTAGCGAACTCTGGGATCTGGGGCTGTCGAGCTGTCTCTAGGTGCATTGAGTAGAGTGCTTATGTCTAGGGTTTTCTGTTTCTTTCTTTGTTTTTGAGACAGTCTCTTCGAGGCCTTGAATTCTCTATGGAGTTGAAAGCAATCATGAACTCCTGACCCTCTTGCCTCTACTTCTCAATCCGGGGATGAAAGGTGTACACACCTACATTTAGCAATAGTGGCCCCCTCTTTGAGCCTCTGGATCAGTTTCCTAGACTCCATTTCACGATATGCTTAAAAAAATATATGTGAAGATGAATGAGAAATGATAGCCATTGCTTCTATTCATAACCAGAAAACTGCTATAAAGTAAATGTTCCAGCGGGCATGGCAGACACACCTGTAATCTAAGGACTCAGGAGTCATACGCAGGAGTATCCGACATTGGCTGCATAGTGAGTTCCAAGCCGGCCTAGGATACAGGGACCTTGTCAGAATAAAAAGCAACTTTATTTTCTTCTATATTTCCTAGAGTGTTTGTCAAGAAGTGCCTGAGAGTATCTTACCTACTGAACCTGCTGTCTGTTGCTGTAGAGACAGAGCTCACAGAGCTGAGCTAACCTGTCCATGGTCTCACTGACTGAGCAGAGGAGCTGGGCTTGTGATCCAGAGATGAGGCTCAGACATGGGCAAAGACCTGACCTCATGCTCCACTTCCTGCAGTTAGAACATCTCCGGGGCTCTGCTTAGGGTATTAGGCTAGTGCTGAGCTATGACAGGGCCTAAGCTGAGGCCCAGCCTGTCTCATGCTTAGTCCATCTGTGGTGATCCTGGTCACCTGCACCAGGACACCAGGGTGGAGTCTGCACTTTTATCTGATCATGGGGTGTTAACCAGGCTGCATCCGTGAGCAGCTTCTCCTGAGTGGTTCTATAAAGATGTAGGTCTTGCCTGACATGAGAATAGCTTTAGTCTCAGCCATCAGGTGGCAGAGGCAGGTGCATCTCTAAGTAAGAGGCCAGCCTGGTCTACATGGAGAGTCCAGGGTAGCTGAGGCTACATAGTGAAAAGTGAGACATCAAAAGGGGGAAAAAAGTAGAATCTAGACTTGCCTTTTAGAAGACAGGTAGGATCTCTGAGGACAGAGCACACCTAGCAACCGAGCACTCTCTGGTAACATCAGAGTGTCCACTTGAAAGGAGGCATTGTTTTCCTCAATAGAGGACTAACCTACTAAATAGTAATTCTGATATAATCACTCTCATGATATGCAACCATGTAGTCACTTCACCCCACATAGAAAAACATTTCCATCCTTCTAGACACTTTGAAGTTTGCATTGTCTAGAGTTTCACAGCTTAGTACCAACTCAGGTTCTTTAATTTTTCTTGCATGTTGTATTCTATTTTAAAACATACATGCTCTCTCTCTGTGTGTAGCCCTTGCTGTGCCAGAACTGCTGTGTCGACTAGATTCTCTTGGACCTCTCAGATAGTCTTCTTCCTCTGCCTCTTGTGTACTGGGAATCAAAGAGCACACTGGTACATATTTGCATACTTTATGGTAGCTACCAGCAATGAAGGAAAAGTCTAGGTTGAGGTCTAGGATGGGTTTTCTGCTCATCTCAGTTGGGGCTTCTTCAATTACTGATGTTTTCTTAGGAAGCGAATCCTACAGAACCCCCATCGACGATCCTCACCAAGGGCTTCTATATCGGAATCTCCGTGTCTGCAGTGCTGCTGATTCTTGCGAGCATCCTGACTATCATACGTGAGTAACTTTATCACAGTCCCAAGGTCAGGAATGAGTCTGGGTCTTCCTGTTAAAAAGCACGAAAGGAAATTTTGGCAGGGCAAAATCTGTTACTTCTGTAGCAAGATGCAAAGCCACTTTAAATGCACCGGGCGGGCATGCCCAGGGGTGGTCCTGCTGGGCCTTTAACTCTAAAGCAGAGAGGTCCCAAGCCTCTTTCTGAGTGCTGAGAGCTTGGCTTCCCATTCTTAGGAGACTGTCAATAGAAAGCAGTGCAGTGTCCAAGGAGAATGGCGCCTGATCATAGGAAAATGCTGATTCTTACTAAGGGTGTCTTCCCACATTTCTTTCAAGATGGCACTTCCTGTCGTATTTAGCCCTTTGATCGAAGACAGTAAGTTTCACGTATTTTTCCCAGACGGAGGAACTAGAGCAAGTCTTCAAGTAACCCCACCTGGCATGGTGCTTACATTTCATGTAACTTCTCTGTTTGTCTGTATCCAAGGTACATGTTCTCATCCATTCAGGATACCAGGGGAAGTATTAGGACCTACTAAGCCTGAGCTTGTTTCTAACACTTGGGACACTCTCAGTGACCATTGTTACAGTATCGAATAAAGATTCCTGTTTCATAAAATTGTAGAGCTTAAGTGCTGGTGATTCTTTTCCTACTACCATTGTTTATTTGATTTCTTTTGAGCTTGTACCTCCCAGGCTGGCTTTGAGGTTACTGTACAGCTGAGGCCACTGTGGAACTTCTTAGCCCTCTGCCTCTATGTTCTGGGCTTACAGCATATGTTTCACGTTTCAGTTGTTGGCCACCCGAAGAGAAAAATCAAATTCACATTTTCCATAAGGAAATTAAATGTGGGGTGGGGAGGTGGTTGATTACTTAGCGGCAGGGACGGCTCTTACAGAGGATGTGAGTTCCATCTCAGTCCCTGGTGTGTGACTCACAACTAACTGCCTGTAACCGCAACTCCATGGGTTGCCTCCAGTTCCAGCAGGCACCTTCTCTCTAGTGCACAGACACACGCAGAGACACAAATTTGTACAAATCTAGTGCACATAGCCTCTCCACAGAGCGGGGCAGGGAGAAAATCTTTAAAGAAAAAGGAATTAAATGCTGTGGAATAAGAGTTGGTTGCACAGGGTTGAGATCTGGATGGCAACAAATCACCATAAGACCTGCTGTGAGTTCTCTCCTAGCCTGGAGAGAACTGGTTTTGTTTTCATGATGATACTGTTGAATGTTCTGGAACATAGTTAATAGACGAGGCGAATAAGACATTGGAAGAAAAACTGTTTCTAACTCTGAACCTGAGAACTTTGAGGGTGACACCCGGCCTGCACGGCCCTTTCCTGCAGGGCGTGGGGGAGCACACACTGTTTCTAGGTCTGTGTAGCCCATCCCCTGGGTGAGAATGTCAGCCATTGACTTTCCAAGACACTGTTCATGAGCTGATTACTGACCAGTTTCACATGACTGGGCAGAAATTCGGGACTAAGCCTATGCCTGTCAAACATCAGGGTGTTTCCCTCTAAATTTTAAAACTTGGTTATTCATCATGATCATTTATTCTGGCCCTGGGTATTGTTTATTCTTCCCTGATGGAGGGTGATTACTTGGAGTCTAAATGTCTTTGATAGGAGGTGAATAGGTGGTAGCACACACCTCCTGAATTGCATCATGGAAGGAGCCAAAGCCAGTACTGTGCTACTTTAGTGACATTTTAAAAAAGGTCCTAGAACCCCTGCTCAGGTGTAGCCAATAGGTAGCTTAGTCTCCACGTGGGTTCCCGAGTAAGGGAAGAAGGTGCTGCCTCTGTCATAAACTCAGTTGCCTGCTCTTCCATCACTTCCCCCTGGGGATGGGGCCTTGCCAGGCCATGGAGGAAGAGGATCCAGGCAGTCCCGATGAGACTTGATAAGCTAGGGGCAGATGGCAGGGGAGGAGAACTGCCCTTTTCAGTGAACTAGGGGAATTGGGGAGGGAGAAATAGGGAGACAAGGTGGGACTGGGAGGAGTTGAGGGAGGAGGCTACAAGTAGGTTATAAAATGAAGAAATTGTAAAAAAATAAAAACTTTTTTTTAAAGGTCCTTGATGGAAAAGACCATTAGTAGGACCTTGTGTCTCAGGTCACCTGCAGAGTCCATGTTTAGCTTGTTCTCCAGAAGCCAATTTAAAAACCTATATTCATTGTTTCAGTGAAGGACAATTTACCAATGTGATTCTTGCAAGTTAGGGAGGCTATGTGGGTGCTACACCAAACCATGAGTGCAGAGATGATACTTCCTGTGGGGTACACGGTTGCCAGGGAATGGTTCAATTAAAAACAGAAACAATACCCTTGGTTAGAAGAAAATGCCACAGTGTTTTTGATGACATGTTCAATCTTCCTTTCAACTCCTCTCAACTCCCCCACCCCATTTTAGAGTGCAGACGCACGAGAAAGAAGAAGACACTAGAGAGGTAAGCTGTCTCAGCTTGTGTTGGTTGCTCAGAAACTTGGAGTCTCGTAGATTTCTCCTTGTTCCTTTCTTTCTTTTTCTTTTTTTCCTCTTTCCCCCTTTCTCTTCCTCCTCCCCTTTCTTTTATAAATTTATTTTTTAAATTAATTTCTTTCTCCTATCATATTTTGGTCATGTTTCTTCCCTTCTGCCAACTCCTCAATGCAACCCAACGCTATGACCTCTTGTTCAAAAAAGAAAAAAAAAAAAAAAGGAAAACAAATAAAACCCACAAAACCACAAAAATGAAGATCAAAAACGTATCCCCCGCAGCCTGCACACATCAGCATTTCTTTCCCCAAGTTAGTTCCTCTGATTAGAGTGCTTGACACTGTATGCATGTGGTGTGGGGAATTGTGGGCCATATGCATAGTCTTTGCAATTGCATCCCAGACTGCCAGCCCCCGTGGAAACGCTGTTTTCTTGCTTCACACATTTTCCCCTCCATGTTAGTGTTAGAGTAGGCAGATGCTATGCAGATTTCAAAACCATTGCTTTTTCAGAAAGATTTTATTTATTATTGTGGGGGGTGGGGTTGGTGATGGTGACAGGGGCCCGTTTGTGTGTACATAAAAGTTCTATGGCACCCAAGAAGGTCAGAGGATATCTTTGTGGAGCTGGTTGTCCCCTTCTACTTTTTTGTGGGTTCCAGGGACCTAGCACGGGTCACTAGGCCCTCTTAACCCTTTCACCGGTCACTCCTAACCCATTCTAAAGAGTCACAGGCCTCAGCTATGAATGCATGAGCCATCTAGTTCTTAGCCCAGTTCCAAAATGTACATCCCGATTAGGTAACTTGGTATGGTGTTAGATGCCTGTGGCCCTAGCCTTTCCACTTTTGTGTACTGTTACATGAGGATATGGATGTATGCCAATGTGGCCTGTTTTTGTTTTAATATTTCTTAGTTTGTCTGATGTTTATTAAGCCAACTTTTTTTAAGGACTTAATAACAGGTCCCTGTGTGGTGCTGTTTATGTCCTGTTACCGTTTTGAATCGGGCTCCTGCAGTCCCAAATATTCAGTCATGCCGAATCTTGAATGAAAATTCTGCTCAGATCTGAAGAGAGACCTTTTTGTTCTTTTCCAGCAATTCTCAGTGCAACTCAGTTGCCTTCCATGCTTATCGGAATGAAGCGTTTGAAAGTGCGGTGCCGCCCCAAGTCGAAGACACAGTCTCCATTACTGAAGACGGTTTTCAGCCAACGATTAAATCCCAGTTGCCCTCTGAGGCGACATCACCTCAAAGCTGCAGGAAAAAATAGTGAAATATAACTGTGATGGACACCCTTTAAGCTGTAGGGGTGTCGTCCATGTCAGCTCATCAGTTCAGGGGTCTTCCCACTTCCCAGCAACGGTGGAGACAGTGGTCCGCCAGCCGTTCTTATGCATAGTGACTGTTAATCTAGTACTCAGCCTTACCACACACTGGGGGGTGTTTCGTGCCTGGAGAGGTTACCATGGTGAATATGGACCAGGAAGACATCAGGGAAGAAAATAATGATGCACAGGATTAAGTTCATTAGTGCTGTTTCCACCACTCTTCTGTCTTGAAGCCCCCTGTTCCTCCCATACTCACCCACTGAGCTCCGAATTAGCTGCTAGAAGGAGGCAATGCAGAAATGAAAGGGGGAAAGAGGGAGCAGGACTCAGGATCTCAGCCCTAGAGAAGTCCTGTTCCAGCTGGGACAGTGTTTGAGGCTACCACTGGGTTCATTTAGAGTTCTAAATTTCTAATGGTCTCCAGGCCATATTTATATTTAAATTTATTTCAGAACGACAAAGCATTCTTCATAATGAATCAGTTTGTCACAATCAAGAAAATATTTGGTTTTGCTAAGAGTTAACAAAGGCTGCTGTGTTGATGTCTTCGTTGTCTATGTGATTGTTGACAAGAACAGATTTTCAAAGGAGTACTAATCTCTGTATCAGTTTTCTGGCTCCTGACTTCTGGCTCCCCACTGGTTCTCCTCTTATTGCCACATGCGCTCCCTGCAATTGTGTACACACACACACACACACACACACACACACACACACACACACACACA